AAAATGTAGAAAACAACTAAGAGCCCCCCTTTCAATCCTCTTTACCTCCCTCCGGCAAGACTTACTGCAGCGGAGCCACCATCTCCCCTGCTGTTGTACCCTATTTCCATCATACGAGCTAACCCCGTCACTAATAGGACGCTTGATATCTGTAGCGGACCCACCAGGTGTGGTGCTCCACTAGTGGTAGAGATGGAGATGGAGGAAGAAAGGGGGGGGCGAGGTGGCACAACGCAGCTCCCCACGCAAGACTCCAACGCACGTATTCCAAAATGTGCAAGTGAAGAATGAGACTGAAAACAGACAATGGCTGGGGTATACCCCAGCGGACTGACGGGATGGGACTAGACTGGCTGGTACCGACAGAGGTACCGGCTTGGACTGGCCTACCCCGAATACAACACAGGCCTGTGAGAACAGGCCAAGGGGCTGGTCTCACAGGCCAACCCGAGGTTCGCTACACGATCCTCGGCCTGTGATGACATACATGTTCTAGGAAAGCAAAAGCAACTAACTAGCATACATGTCCTAGGAAAGCAGAAAGTAATGACACAAGATCCTAAAATGTTGGAGGCACTAGCCTCAGTCTGGTAACAACTGACTAGTGTATTAGTCCTAAAAACAGCAAAAGCAGAACAGCTAAATCCTAGAAATGTCAGAGGCAGTAGCCTCAGTCTGAGAGCAACAAAGCAATCAACAAAACAACCATATGTCACATGAGAAGTGTGTCGCAAACCAAAAGGTGGGATGGTCTCTGAGGGTGGCGAATGCAGCCTAGCGGTCGAAAACTCCTAAGGGCATCCACACATAGTGACAGGGGAAAACACATGTCATTAGGCTCAATGAGGGTAGGGAACTGGGAGCGAACAGAACCAATGACCCTAACAGATAGACCATTAGGGCGGGTAATGCTCGACTAAGGGGTGACCGCTATGGAGGGTCGACCATGCAAGGGAACAAGGGAGCCTGGTATACTGGGCGCACCTAKATGAAGCATGCGGGGCTGCCTAACTAGGGCGTGAGGGCCGGCGAAGGGTAGAAAGATGATGGGTAAGGGAATCATGCCAATGACTCCTAAAGTGAGGGAAGTCGGAGCTAGATCCGTAAGATGGGAAGCCAGGGCAACGCTACGGTCCCGATGCCTATGCGTATACCAAGGGAGAGCCCAACTCAGAGGAACCCGGCTAAAGGGAGACCATCCCGATGCCTATGCGTATACCAAGGGAGAGCCCAACTCAGAGGAACCCGGCTAAAGGGAGACCATCATGCGACACAAGAAGGGTATTGTACAGGGTAAACTGGTAAGAGAGTGGCGACGTCTGAAGTAGGCAGAGCTGATCGTGACGAAGTCCATGAAGCTGCCGATGACTGCCACGATGAGAAGTCCGAAATGCCGTCGAGGAAGAGCCGCAACGTCGACAAGCCGAAGTAGCAAAACTGGAGTGGATGGAGTACTGAGAAGTCAAGGACGTGGGAAGATAAGTCAGAGTCAATCGTCGTATTGAGCAGGACGACGACGAGTGCGCTGTGGACGCTCAGAAGCATCCGGCTGCTGCTGAAGGTCTGCCTCAGATGGAACAGCCTCGACTTCAGCGGTCTCCTCAGCCGGGGGAGAAGGAGGAGGGTCAGTGGGCTGAGGAGGAGCAGTGAACTCAGCACGACGAGCACGGTCATAAGCACGCACCAACATGTGAGCGTGCTACAAATGCTCCGGGGGCTCTCAGGTAGCCTCCTCATCAGGGTAACCCTTCCAACGTACGAGATACTCGACGTGGGGAGGGTTGTCGTCGGTGACTCGGCGACCAATGATGTCTGAAACGAGAAACTCCTCGTGACCGTCCACCATGATGGGTGGACGACGCTCGTATGGTCGTCCAGCGAAACACTCAGACGGTCTGCGGTAAGGACGCAGTAACGAGACGTGGTAGACATCGTGCACACGAGCCAGGCGTAGGTAGTCGGGCAGCTTCACACGAAAGCTGACCGGGCTAGATGCCGTATCAGAGCCGACGGCCTGGAGGATGCGGCATGGGCCAAAGAAACGACACCGAAACTTGCGAAGTGTGTCCGCTTCGAGCTGTAAGTAGCGGGCGTCGATAAGCACATCATTCCCGACTTTTAATGGATGATCCATCCTCGATCGGTTCGCACAAGCTGCCATGCGAGTCTGGGAAGCGGCTATGTGCTCATGTGGGGTCTTCATGATCGACGTCATGTGTGCAACCCAATCGTCCAGCGTGAGACAACTCGTGTCGGGGTGCAGCTGGGACGGTCGAAGGAAGTCCGCGGGAATACGAGGGTGATAGCCGAGGTCGCAATAGTAAGGCGACATCCCCGTGGCTGGCGAGACGGCGTGGTTGTAGGCTATCTCCGCGTGGGCAAGATGAAGATCCCACTGCTGGTCGTCACGAACAATCTTTCAGAGAATATCTCCGAGAGTCTTGTTCGTGATCTCGGTCTGACCATCAGTCTGAGGATGGTAAGACGAGGAGAAGCAAAACTGAGTGTCGTACACCTCGTGGAGCTGTCGCCAGAATCGGCTGGTAAAGCGCGGGTCACGGTCAGATATGATGCTCAGAGGTAAGCCGTGGTCACGCACGACTCGGTCAAACACGATGTCGGCGACCTCACGTGCACTGATGGCATAGCGGCACGGAACAAAGCGTGCACGCTTCGTGAAGCGGTCGACGACGATCAGGATAGCATTATGACCACGAGGGGTCGGAGGACGAAGAGGACCGATAAAGTCCATCGAGATGGACTGCCAACGACCCTCAGGGATAAGAAGAGACTGGAGCAAACCATAAGGCAAGTGGTTCGCACTCTTCACCTCTTGACAGGTAGGACACTCTGCGACATAGTCCTTCACAAAGTCCTTGCGCTTCGGCCAGACGTACAGGCGGCTCACACGAGCCAACGTCTTGTGGAAGCCCATATGACCGGCGGTTGCCTGGTCATGGAACTCTGCTACTGCTAGGACACATAGCTGTCCAGTAGAGGGAACGCAAATACGGGGCTCTCTGGTGCCCTGTGAACCGTGCCAGTACACAAGACCGTTGTCCCCGAGAGAGTAGTTCGGAACGGTCTTGCCGCCCTGAAGGGTCGCGTGGATGTGGCGATAGTCGGGGCAGTGACGGTACTGATTGCGAAACTCGTCGATCACCGAGTGGTGGACAGCGGTGACCGAGATGGAAGAGAGCTAGATGTGCTCCTGGTCGTGGTCAGGAAGCCGAACTCCACCAAAGAAAAAAAAAACCCGAGTAGTCTAGGATGCGGAGCAAGCTCCATGTTGAGTCCATGCAATGCAACCTAGGATAGAAAATGTCACAAAAAACAGCAATGTCACAGCTAACAGCCTAAGTGAAAGCAAAAGCAACTAACTAGTATACATGTCCTAGGAAAGCAGAAAGTAATGACAACTAAATCTTAGAATGTTGGAGGCAGTAACCTCAGTCTGGAAACAACCGACTAGTCTATAAGTCCTAAGAACAGCAAAAGCAAAAACAACTAAATCCTAGGAATGTTAGAGGTGGTAGCCTCAGTCTGAGAGCAACAAGCAGCAACAAGACAACCATATGTCACAGGAGAAGTGTGTCGCAAACCACAGGGTGGGATGGTCTTTGAGGGTGGTGAATGCAACCTAGGGGTCGATAAACTCCTAAGGGCATCTACACATAATGACAGGGAGACACATGTCATCAGGCTCAATGAGGGTAGGGAACTGGGAGCGAACAAAACCAATGAATCTAACAGATAGACCATCAGGGCCGGTAATGGTCGACTAAAGGGGTGACCGCTGTGGAGGGTCGACCATGCAAGGGAATAAGGGAGTCTGGTATATTGGACGCACCTAGATGAAGCATGCAAGGCTGCCTAACTAGGGCGTGAGGGCGGGCAGAGGGTAGAAAAAGTGATGGGTAAGGGAATCATGCAAATGACTCCTAAGGTGGGGAAAGTCGGAGCTGGATCCGTAAGCTGGGAAGCCAGGGCAACGCTACGGTCCCGATGCCTATGCGTATAACAAGGGAGAGCCTAACTCAGAGGAACCCGGCGAAGGGAGACCATCATGCAACACAACCAGGGTATTGTACAAGGTAAGGTGGTAAGAGAGTGACGACGTTTGAAGTAGGCAGAGCTGATCGTGATGAAGTCCATGAAGCTGCCGATGATGTCCATGATGAGAAGTCCGGAATGTCGTTGAGGAAGAGCCGCAACGTCGACGAGCTGAAGTGACAAAACTGGAGTGGATGGAGTATTGAGAAGTCAATGATGTGGGAAGATAAGTCAGAGTCAATCGTCGTATCGAGCAGGATGACGACGAGTGCGTTGTGGACGCTCAGAAGCATCCGGCTGCTGTTGAAGGTCTGCCTCAGATGGAGCAGTCTCGACTTCAGCGGTCTCGTCAGCCGAGTGAGAAGAAAGAGGGTCAGTGGGTTGAGGAGGAGCTGTCAACCCAGCACGACGAGCACGGTCGTAGGCATGCACCAACATGCGAGTGTGCTGCAAGTGCTCGAGGGGCTCCCAAGTAGCCTCCTCATCAGGGTAACCCTTCCAACGTACGAGATACTCGACATGGGGAGGGTTGTCGTCGGTGACTCGGCGACCAATGATATCTGAAACAAGGAACTCCTTATGGTCGTCCACCATGATGGGTGGAGGGCGCTCGTATAGTCGTCTAGCGAAATGCTCAAACGGTCTGCGGTAGGGACGCAGTAACGAGATGTGGTAGAAATCGTGCTCACGAGCCTGGCGTAGGTAGTCGGGCAGCTTCACACGGAAGCTGACCGGACTAGAGGCCGTATTAGAACCGATGGCCTGGAGAATGCGGCATGGGCCAAAGAAGCGATGCCGGAACTTGCGAAGCGTGTCCGCTTCGAGTTGTAAGTGGAGGGCGTCGATAAGCACATCATCACCGACTTTGAATGGATGATTTATCCTCGATCGGTTCGCACGTGTGGCCATGCGCGTCTGGGAAGCGGCTATTTGTTCATGCGCGGTCTTCATGATCGACGTCATGTGTGCAACCCAATCATCCAGCATGGGACAACTCGTGTCGGGGTGCATCTGTGACGGTCGAAGGAAGTTCGCTGGAACACGAGGGTGATAGTCGAGGTCGCAATAGTAAGGCGATATCCCCGTGGCTGGCGAGACGACGTGGTTGTAGGCTATCTCCTCGTGGGCAAGATAGAGATCCCACTGGTGGTCGTCACGAACAATCTTTCACAGAATATCTCCAAGAGTCATGTTCGTGACCTCGGTCTGACCATATGTCTGGGGATGGTAAGACAAGGAGAAGCGGAGCTGGGTGCCGTACACCTTGTGGAGCCGTCGCCAGAATCGGCTGGTAAAGCGCGGGTCACGGTCAGATATGATGCTCAGAGGTAAGCCATGGTCACGCACGACTCGGTCAAACACGATGTCGGCGACCTCACGTGAACTGATGGCATAGCGGCACGGAACAAAGTGTGCACGCTTCGTGAAGCGGTTGACGACGACCAGGATAGCATCATGACCACGGGGGCTCGGAGGACGAAGAGGACCGATAAAGTCCATCGTGATGGACTGCCAATGACCCTCAGGGATAGGAAGAGGTTGGAGCAAACCATAAGGCAGGTGGTTCGCACTGTTCACCTTCTGACAGGTGGGACACTCTGCGACGTAATCCTTCACAAAGTCCTTGTGCTTCGGCCAGACGTACAGGCGGCTCACACGAGCCAACGTCTTGTGGAAGCCCATATGATTGGCGACTACCTGGTCATGGAACTCTGCAACTGCCCGGACACGTAGCTGTCTAGTGGAGGGAACGCAAATATGGGGCTCTCTGGTGCCCTGTGAACCGTGCCAGTACACAAGACCATTGTCCCCGAGAAAGTAGTTCGGGACGGTCTTGCCACTCTGAAGAGTCGCATGGATGTCGCGATAGTCAGGGCAGTGGCGGTATTGATTGCGAAACTCGTCAATCACCAAGTGGTGGACGGTGGTGACCGTGGCAGCAAGCTGGATCTGCTCTAGATTATGGTCAGGGCGCCAGGATAAGGCATCTGCGACCCAATTAGTCTCACCCTTGATGTGCTTAGTGGTGAGACTAAACTCGGATAGGTCGCGCCACCAGCGACCCTGTCGAGGAGTGAGCTTCGACTTTGTCAGAAAAGCCCGGACAACAGAGTTGTCCGTGCGCACCGTGAATGGTGCCCCGTGCAGGTAGTGACGCCAGTGCGGAGCGGCATAAACTACTGCGAGAACCTCACGTTCATCAACAGTGTAGTTTATCTCGGCGGGCAGGAGTTGACGGGAGTAGAAGGCTATCGGACAATCACCTGAGCGAGACTCGACAGTGTCGTCCTCGGCGATGGTAGGAGAATAGTCAATAGAGGGTTCGTCAGTAGCTGGACGAGTAGGCGTCAGTCGGGAAGCAGTGGTAGGGGTAGGTGGTGGGAAGCGAGGGATACGAGGATGAGAGGAATCAGGAGAGGAGGGGAAGACTTGAGAAAACACTACTCCTACAGCAAAGTCTGACGCATCGGTGGTAAGGATAAAATGGCGATCAAAATCGGGTAGGTGAAGAACCGGTGCGCATGTCACCGCCTTCTTGAGGGCGCGAAAGGCGTCCTCGTGGAGGGGTGTCCAAGCCCAGGGTGGGTTCTTCCGGAGGAGGGTGGAGGTAAGGACATAGGAATACCTAACGTATCCCCGGATGAAGTTACTATAGTAGCTGGTCAGGCCTAGAAAGCTGTGAAGCTGCTTGGCGTATGTGGGGGTGGGCCACTCCGCAATAGCAGTGATCTTCACGTCGTCTATGTTGAGACCCTGGTCAGACACGTAGTGTCCTAAGAAATCCACTTTGTGCTGGGCAAAGCGGCACTTGCTCAGCTTGGCGTAGAAGCCGTGTCTGCGCAAGCGGTCAAGGACGTCGCGGAGGTGTCTGAGGTGCTCCTCAAGGGTACGACTGTAGACTAGGATATCGTCGAGGTAGACGAGAACGTACTGCTCCTGGATGTACCTGAAGATGTCGTTCATCGCCCTCTGAAAGGTGGCGGGTGCATTGGTGAGGCCGAATGGCATCACCGTGAACTCGTAGTGGCCGAATCGCGATCGGAACGCGGTCTTCGGCTGGTCAGCTACAGCGACGCGGATCTGATGGTAACTGCTACGAAGATCAATCTTCATAAAGAAGCGGTTGCCTGCTAGGCGGTCGAACAGCTCATCGGAACGAGGCATGGGGTAGTTGTTCTTAACCGTGTAGCGGTTGAGACCGCGATAGTCGATGCAGAGACGGAGAGTTCCATCCGCTTTGCGAGCAAAGAGGACAGGTGCACCCCACGGGGAGTTGCTGGTTTAATGAAACCAGGTCTCAGGAGCTCCTCAAGCTGACGCTTGAGTTCGGTGGCCTCGGGGATCGAGAGTCTGTAGGGTGCCTGGTGATGAACACGATAGTCAGGCACAAGCTGAATGGAGTGCTCGACGTCACGCATCGGTGGGATGTCGGCGTACGAGAACAACGATGGGAAAACGTCGTGGTACGCTCGGATGAGGTCACGAACTGCGGGCTCCAGGTCAGCCGTATATCGTGCGAGTTCCTCAGCGTCAGCGTCAACGCGCGACGGCGGGATGGACTCGATGGACGGCAGAGGGACGGAAGTAGAGATGGGAGCCATGGAGATAGAGGGAGGATCAGGCTCCAGAGGGATGAGCTCGGCATCGGGACAGGGTGGATCATAGTGTAAGAGATCCGTCACGTCCACCATAAAGAAGGTGACGTCGTTCTGTCGAATGAAGTGAGCGAATTGCCAAGGAGAGGTGACAGTGATAGAGGGAGATGGTGTGGGCACTGAAGGCTCCGGGGGAGGAGGATCGGGGCATGGTGTCGCAGTGGTACCTATGAAAGGTACGCGATACGTCTGTCCACACTTCGTTTTGAGAACGAGAGTGTTGGTCGCCCAATCGGCCTCGGTGCTGCGGAACTGACGAGACCACGGAGTGCCGAGATTAAAGTCGTACCTCATCTCCATCACATCGAAATGTGCAGAGGAGCGGTGGCGACGAGACGCCGGGGAACGATCAGTCGGCTCGAGAGTGAGGAAGAAGGGGAGGTCGGTGACCGTCTGATCGAAAAAGCGCTGGGTCTTGTCATCCCCTAGGGTAACGGAGATGGGAGTCGGAGACCCTATCGTGGGTAAGCGGGCTTCCTTCACCACGAGTGGGTGAATGAAGTCGCCCTGAGAACCGGAACCCCACAGCACTGAGTACACCCTCGTGGAGGTCCCGAGTCGTACTGGGATGATCGGGAGGGTGCGATCAGGGTCAGAGAGGATGGCGAGAAGGCGACGCAGTGCAGCGATATGGAGGGTGAGTCGCTCCTGACGAGCCTGGAGCATGCTAAAGTCCAGAAGAGAGGACACAACGTCCTCGCGAGCAGCAAGCTGCTCGCTGCAATGGGCTGAGCGAATGGCTCGACGCATCGGTACTCCCGGAGGGGAAGGAGGGGACACGGTGGTCTGCGGAGGCGCAGACGGTACTGCGACAGAGGGCTGAGTACACTCTGTCGAGTCCTGCGATACCTCAACTTTAGTAGTGAGAGGGGCGAACTGCTGTCAGGCGGCCACAAGTAGTGGGCCGCCTGAAAGTGGCAGTCTTGGAGCTTAGGCACAAGGACAAGTCCGTGCAATGACGGTATTCTGGTTTGACCAGGCAGCAAAATTAGGGGGACCCAGAGCACCCCTAAAATTGGAGGTGTCGACCGTTGAGAGTAGCCCTCAAGATTGACAAGAGGGACTACCGCTTCAACCGCGCTGACGCCCCCCTCTTTTTTTCGCCTGCTCCGAGGCTATTTCTGAAATGGCTAGCCGTGGGACGGTAATATGGGAGTAGACCTTGGCACGACTCTTCTACATCGGCCTATCGATGGGGAGATGGAGCCTCGAATTTTG